ATTTATCATATTCCATAGAATTTACGCATATCCGGTTTTTTAGTAACCGTTCGTTTTAGACGTGTATAGTTCCTCGGCCGCTTCCGCCTTAAACAATTTTAAAAACCAATTTTGGTAGCCCCGACTCTAATTTTAAACAAGCGATCTATTCAACCCCCCCCCCATCTAGATTTGCACCATCGTCTAATAATGTTGACGTGTGCATCATGCATTCATATGCATTCCAGACTTCGGTCTAGGACCTTGATTCTTGTGGCTTCAGTCTCATTGTGTGGATGTGAGGTATTTTGTTATGCTCTGGTTCTCATGTAGAATCGATCCTACTGTTGTAGATCTATGGAGGGTTGATGGCCCAGTGTCCATCGAATTTTATTGATTGGTACCACATGCACGAGTCTTGTTGCATTTGAATTTATGTGATAATTTGATGTAATTTATAATATTGTGGCCTTTGATGTTCCTTGATGATTCTGATGATGTTAGATATGAAAATGACGCCATTTTATATATTGATTCTTATATTGCTTATTATGAATCGTTTTACTCACCCTGCCTGTTTGAATGTTGCCTTCACGTGGGTAACGTGCAGATGACCAGTTTTAGCTGTGGATTGCCGTCGAGGACTTTTTGAAATGTTTGGGTCGTTGGCCATTGTTGTTGACTTAGAGGGTCTTGCTCTGATAGTGTAACATCGAGTTAGGGTTTTTTTGAGTCAAACTATATTTTATTGAGTTTTTGTTATGTTGATTTCCTTGCGGTACAAGGAAAACTTTGGATTTGCCTTTTTGAGTTCCGCTGCCATTTGAGCACTTTTGAGTTATTTTGAGAAAACCCGTTGCTTACGGAGGATTGCCCTTGATTTGAATTTATTGAGAAATGTACGCCTTTTGAGGTGATTTTATAGTGTTTAAAATTTTACTCTGATAAATTTGATTATTTTGCCATAATATTCGTGGGGTAGAAAATGGTGTTACACTAATCTATTAGATATTCAAAATATAAACGATTATAAGTTCAAAATAGGAAAGAAAAGATATCTAACTGTTGCACATCATTAAGATCCTGTCATAATCGTTTCAGACTCAATTTTGAACCAAGCTAATCGATTAGAAAAGAAAAAAATTTGTCCACACCAATTATGACAACTCCCAATTCATCTGGAAAAAAATTAGGATATTTTTGAAGGTATTTTATTGATAAAAATCAGTTTGAAAATATGTTTTCATTGTGTGTGGCCTTTAGCCATGTATTTTTATGAGAACACCCTTATGCTTTACAAATAATTCACTCATACTAATTAAGGTAGGACTTTCTTGTACTTCAAAACTTTGTCAAATGCTTTATTTAGTACACACTTACTTGAGTTCACTTGAGATGATGATTGAGCTTATATTCCAATTAATTGCCATCATCGGATAATCAAGTCCATCAAAGCCTAATACTTAAGTTTGTATCTTTAACCGCTTAACTTCTTATGCTTGACATATCCTTATTAATTAGTTGTCATACTTTAGAAAAAAGTTGTCATCGTCAAAAGTAAAATAGTTGTCCTTGTTAAAAACATATCACCTGCAAAACAAGGTTCCACAAAATATTTGGTCCAATAACTCGTTTGTGACTTGTACTCCCTGGTTTGTTGTAGCATGTGAAATCCAGGTAAGGTTTAATGTTATGTAGTTGGAAGTGGAATAGGAGTCTCAACTGGATAGACCATAACTTATTTGGCCCCTTGTGAAGTTCAAGTTGGATCCGGTTGTGAAGAAACTATTATTTTAGAATCTTCTACGTTTCATGGTGGAGGAAGATGCAACTAATTATTTTCTTTCCTAGTAGCGGTGGATCTGGTGGCCTTGGATCAGTCCATATCTATTGAAGATGAAAATCGGAGTTCCAAAATATTAAAGAAACGAGATTTACATTGTGTGGGTTTGAATCGAAACACGATATCTTCATGTTCGATTACAATTACTTGCTCCAATGATCCGAAAGAGTAAGAAATCGCAAAATTCGAACAACTTATGCAAACTTGTGAAATTATTAGTAATAATAAAATTAATTCCTTACAATCGACACCACTGTTCTATTCTGGAATCATAAGTGAGAAATCTGAGAGGAGACAACAGTGGATTATGACCTTCGATATGGTGGAGTGGGGGGTACCTGTAAGGTTAGAATTACAACGCCAAAGTTAGTATATGGAGTAGTAGATTGAAAGTTAATTGTGTTAGAAAATTGTTACCTTAATTTGGAGCCTATTATATATAGAGAAAAGAGTATAATGAACTAGCTATTTATTCACCGTTCTTTGTGGATGACCGTTGGATGGGCTTTATGGTTGAGATCTCATGGGATAATTAAAGTATTTACCTTTATTCATTGAGAAGGTTCAAATAAGAGTGGAACTTTATCAAATTACAGGCCGAATCATAATGGTAGGACTTTTTCTTCCAAGGTCTTTCTACTCATCTTAGACCAATGTCTTTATTTCTATCTTGTATATGATGTGTTTTATTTGATTTCTTTGTGGTCCTCCGATTCACCGTATGAGTCTTTGGCTTCTGGGCTTTGAATAAATTGACCCTTGTTGTATTTAAACTTTATTATTATCTCTAGACCTTTTACTTCATATGTCGTTTGTTTCTTGTTGGCATCCGGCGTGTCCTTCAAACTATGCGGTCCCAGCTGGGGTAATGCAAACCGACTATAAAGTTTTCTCGTTACTGGTTCTGATCAAGAAGAGTTAATGTCGTCCTTTAGCGTCACTAGGAATTATCCTCGACTAAAGATAGGGTTCTTGCTCTTGCCTCCAAGTTTGTCCAGGTTTGGGGTGAAGGCCTCCATGGCTCCATCACCTACGCTATTGGAGTGGCTAGTTCCTAAAAGGGGTGCACCAACTACACTTTAATCGTATTGACCAAGTGTATAATCTACACGAGCGGTGCGACCTCTGCTATCCTGCGGACGTTTATAATAACTTGTGCATTTGCAATATTTCTGACAGTTAACATATTATTTATTAAGATTTAACAAAACCTTGAAGAATACTTATATTGCTGAGGAGACCATGAACTGAAGAGAGTTGATAGCGATGCATCCCTCACTCGGTTTCTATCTGTAATGATATACGTCTCGGTAGGCTGCACGTGTGGTCCTCCTCTTAGGAAGTTAGATGATGACGCCCATCTTTCAGGATGTCTCTACCTTTTACCTTTGCTCGAAGGGTGTTACTGGGTGACCAATGTCTTTGTGGCTAGCTTACCTTCTCATGGTTGTAGTGGTTAGGCCGCCTCTGAGGGAGCCCTCTCTACTAGCTCTTATGAATGGTGGGATGAGTTGTTTATCGTATTCACGTATTGAACATTTGTTTCTAGAAATTCTCTAAAATTAAGTTAATGGTGTGTTCGAAAGGGAAGTGGAAATGAACCTTCACGGATTCGGCTTGACTAGCCCCAATTTGGCTTACTTGGGAATCACCGTTGAAGAAACGATTAAGTTTTTTTAAGGAGATTTTATTAATATTCCCTGCCCCTTTTCAGTTGGCATGGTTTAAGCCTGTTTTTTCCCCCCTGCTATGATATATCCAACTGAATTGGCAAAGCTACAACGTTTATCTTTGCCAAGAAGGACCTATGGAGAACTCTTTGATGGCGTTCCTACACATAACTATCAGAAAGCTGATGCCACTTTTCTGTCGTCTGCTCCTTTTCCATTGACGGTGTTAGATCTGTCACTTTACAAGAGGAAGTTACTGAATCGTCGAAGGCTGACCGTTTTCTGCTATTGTATGCATCTAGATCTGATTGAAAAAGGTATAATTTTGCAATCGTATCAGGGTGGGAATTTTTACGTGAATTCCACCGTATATGAAGGATCTTGTGAGGGTTCCATTAGCAACAATGATTTATTTACTTAAAGGCAACTCTGCGCTCGGGCCTCCATTTATCTTCTCACATACTAGGCATTATAGTTTTGCTTGATCCATGTTTCGCGGTTTGGTATCAGCCATCTCTTGGAAAAGGTGCTCTTGCGGCGAATCTCATCGATGACTGATAATTGAGGTGAAATGAGACCAGAAGATCTAACAGAGCTCTTCAATGTGACGTAGAAGGTGATTGTCTTCGTCTTTCGGTGGTCCCAACATAGATCTGGCTATGAGTCGAGGGTGATTTATCCGTGGAATATCACGAGAATTATGAGTCAATTCTCACAGACAACGTCATTGTTTCATACTGGAACCAAAATTGGTGTTGATTGATGATAGAGAACCGTGAATAGATGATAATGATCGCCGATGCAATAACACATAATAGACTTGCAAAGTTAACACTCTAATGCTTAAGTAAGTTAAGAGTTTAAGATGAGTATAGTAAAAAGTGAAGATCAATAAAATATACATTAAATTCTTAACAATAATCTAAATTCTTTAACAATAGAATGCATATATAAGTTGTATTGAAGTCGTAAACTGCCAAAGTTCTTCTAGACCGATCATATGCTCAATGAAACCTTATTTGAGAAAAGTTCAATTTAAGACACATCCATTAAGTTGTTAAAGATCAGGCGCGCTCTTAATTTAGAAGGGAACACTCAATACTTATCTTCGAATTATTGAAAACTATTAAATTTAATCAAATCTTCTAACTGCTTTTCATATATAAAGATTGTTATGTGCTGATCACATGTATGTTCTCACCATAACACACATGACCATATTTCTCATATTTTACTAATCTGAGCATTTGAGTGATAATTTTGTAGATTCACATTTTCACTTAATTTTACATGTTTTTTTTATCAACTCAATTTCACATGTTTATATCCATAATTTTTTTGTTCCTATACAAAACATTGGGTCAGTCTATAAAAAACTGACTTTTGATTCTCATGAATTTTCAAGGTCTGATCTTTCTGATTCCGAACAACGAATCAGCTACTGCACTCGTGTTCAATCATATGTGGTATATCAGGAGACATGAAAAAGCCATCAATGATGTTTAACATTAACCTTCAATTCTCTTTCTTTTAGCATGAAACAAATTGAACCAAAATCCACATCTTTTATTTCCATGCTTAACACCATCTTCACATTTTCTTCTTCCAAATGACTTGTTCTTTACGATTTCATTTTGGCCATGAACCAAAAAGATAGATAATGAGCTACTTTTTCCATCACTGTTAAAACAAAAACAATGCAAAGGAGAAGCCAAAGAAGAAACAGAAGATGAAGACAATGAAGAAACATAAGAAGAAGAAAAAGAAGAACTTGAATTAGAACTATTATCATTAGCAAGAACTAAGGCTTTTCTATGTGTACTAAGAGAAGAAAGTTGAATAAGCTTTTCACATAAACAAAGAGAACACACGCCAGGTGATTGGTTGTGTTTTGGATGTTTTTTGCAACGACCATTTGGTTTGATTCGACCAATTGTGTCATTTTCTTTCTCTGTGAAAGCTTGTGATCTTAGGTTTCTCATTTTGATATTCTCATTTGGAAAAGCTTGTGATCTTAGGTTTCTCATTTATAATAGAGAAAAAAAGCATTTGAGAATTCAATGGAGTTGAGGTGTGGCTATAATGTGGTTGGAGTGTGTTTTCACCTTCCTGGATATTTCATGGTAGTTTCCTTGTGTTATTTGGAAAATGTCAAAAGGTATTTTATTTTTCGATGGTTTAATTTGTGTAATAATTAATTAATTAAGTTGATAATTCTTAAGGAGTAAGTTGGCATCTATCTGTTTGATGTTTGCAAGATGGGCCCACAAGCTGAGTCGGTATTATTCAAGTCTTAAATATAAAACGTACGTATATTTAATAGTTTGAATTGCTATATATTTTTATTTAAAAAATTGACATAAAATTATTATGTTGTTATATTTTATCCTGTCATCCCAATTATAATTTGCATTGCACCTCCACCGTGTACAATTTTACTAAAATATTTTAATAAAAGTTAAAATTTTTAAAATAAGTTAATGGTTTTTTTAAAATATTTATTACATTTATAAAAAAATATTATATAAAAACATAGATTTTGTAATGTTTTTTAAAAATAACCACAATTTTCAAAATAAAAAACTTCCATTAACCACATTTTCAAAATATTTACTAAATTATTCACTTTTCAAAAAAAAAATCCCTGTGTGCTACACCCTTTAGCCCGTGCATTCAAACTTTTGTTTTAATGTCATTGCCTATCTTAAAGTTTGCATGCATATGTCATTGCGATTAACATGAAGATGCGTCACAAACAATAGTGCCTTAGCTATATATCTGATATAAATTTATCAGGATTGCTATGTTGACACCCATCTTTACACCCTACACCTCAATTACTGTTCACAAATACTTGAACAAATTCCCCAGAACATGGTTAATAGTGTGTATTTTATTGGTTAATGAAGTAGTGAAAGTGGTTAATAAATTATAGGTAAAATAATTGGTTAATAATGTAGATTTTTGTGGTTAATGCAACTGTGAAGTTGGTTAATGCGCAATCTTATATTTGTGTTATAAAATAAATTTTAAAAATAAAACTTTTTTTTTAAAAAAATTAATATTTTAAAAAAATATATTATTTTAATAAAAAAAACACTGTTCACCGTATAAATACGGTGAATAGTGCATACGGTGTAAGTATTGGGTGTAGGAAATGGTGTAGGAATAGCATTTTTCTAAATTTATAGACTTTATAAATACAATTTATGCTTTTATACAGATTTTTTTTTCATATATCCAAAAAAAATTTAAAAATTCTATGATATTAGCTTCATTTTTCTATTGATCTATAGAATATGATTTTTAAACAATCAAAAAATTACAAAACATACCACCGAATTTATTAAAATATGAGTGAATAAAATTCAAACAAACCACCGGATTAGAAGAAAATTCAAAACTTATAATTTTAATTTATTGAGTTTAAAAAATTCTTATACAATGATTTGTAACATTTTATAAATCTCACGTTATTTAAAAGTAAAAATCTCATTAATTTTAAATATTAAAATGTGAAAGAATATCAAACCTACGCCAAGAGTATATATCATTTTATTAATGCAACTTTTCAAGTTAAATTTTGCATCGGTAGAGTTGGAAGAGATATCAAACACTCTAACTTTTTTTTTTTTTATCGAAATTGCTTTGATCTTATCTTAATTTCTAATTCACTTTTTTACTATTATAGTCAATAGGATCAAGTACTAGTGCTACACTCCTTAGAACAAAAGTTATTCCCTTTGCTATTGTAATGAGTTGTGGAAAAACATCACTGCTTTATGCGAGGCGGCGTGGAAAATCACTAAACTTTTTTTATAAAAACAAAAGTAGGTATGGGTGATATAAAAGCAACCAAATTTAAAATGATACTAGTATGCAATATTATTAAATTTAATACTAAATTAATATTATTTTGTGAAATAAAAATTAACTTCGAAGAACAAATTTCTGTCATTTGCAGCCAGAAGCTGAAGCCACACTACTTTAGCATAACAATAATCTCTCATAACATAATCTCTCATAACGTGAAAAATTGTCTCCTCCTCACCAGCACAATCCTCACAATAAGCATCCCTACAATTGAGAAGACTGAGATATTTGTTGGTTTTGATTCCTTTCTGTTGCAGCGTCCATGTAAAACTTTGAATTCTCTTAAGCACGCTCAACTTCCAAATCTGCTGCCACAACTCCATATTTTCTGCACTATTTGTACCTGTAGTGAGATCAAAAGCATTGGATATTGTAATGTATCTTGTGTTGGTTCCTCCCCAAGTGCAAATGTCAAAAGCATTGGCTAAAACCTATGATCTTAAACAATCGGCCACGTAAATGTTAAACTTCTGATCAGGTTAAGTTAAATAAAACCTTTGACCTTAAGCAATTGGCGACGTAAATGTTAAACCTCTGGTCGGATTAAGTTAAATAAAACCTCTGACCTTAAGCAATCGGTCGCGTAAATGTTAAACCTCTGGCCGAGTTAAGTTAAATAAAACCTCTGACCTTAAACTAAAGTTCAAGTAAATAAGAACCTCGGACAATCAGTCAAGCAAATTGAAACCTCTGACCTTGATTAAAGACCAAGTATAAATATACCTTTAGCATCTCGACTAAGTTAGCATACCTTTAGTCAGGTCAAGTTAACATATCTCTAACCTTAAGTGGTTTAGTTAAACTATCACTAACCAAACACTGATATGACCACCACGGGAATTAACCGGTTTGGATTTAAAAAAGACGAGACACATTAAAATCATTAAGGCCCAACTCATTAGGACTTGGAATCTATACGGTGTAAATCTCAGCTAAAGGTAGGTTAAGATCCGTTTATGGTCAACCATTCTATTTGATTTCCAGTCAAAACAAATTAATTGCTATCTAAGGGATAAAACACATTAGGACTACATAGCAATTCTAAAAGGACTAATATGGTCACAACTAAAAAAATTCCGTGAGAGCTCGGATATTATTGTCAAAGGATCCAAACATTACAAAACGCATCCATAAAGGATGACTAAAATGACAAAACAATTATGAACCAATGCTCTGATAAGAATGATCTCCGGTGTAATCACACAAAAAATTCTCGGGCATTGGATTCCAACTCACATGGGTCATGCAAATAATGAAGCAAGACATACTCGGAATTTGCCAAACTAGTGATCTATCATGATTTGGTTACTAATAATATTTGAAAACCCACATAGGCTATCACAATTATAATAACAAGGCCAAACTTTGACTTAGTTAAAACGGGATGCCAACAAGTTGAGATCCTAATGGGGCTCTCTGACTTCTCTATGTCTAGAATCTACCGAGTTCTATGACACTAACAAGTCGAGATCCCATTGGGATCTCCGATTGGTCTATGTTTAGAACTTACTGAGTTCTATGACATTAGTGGTCGAGATTCCACTAGAGATCTCCGACTTCTCTATGTCTGGTACCTACTAATTTCTATGACATTAATGGTCGATATCCTACCGGGGCTCTCCGACTTTTCTATTTCTATAACATATTGAGTTCTATGTCGCCAACCAATCGAGATTCCGCTGGGGCTCTCTGACTTGTCCATGTCTAGAAATGATTTGGAAACCCTGTCGAACTAGAGTCATGGCTAGCTTCCCCATAAATTCAAACCGGATGGAAGTACAACCCATTCAAGAAAAAATAATTTCAATATTCTTTGTCCAAACATTTCATCCCATGGGACTTCAGGATCGGGGGGCTTATGCACACCTCGAAATTCTTAAATTCGAGTATGCTTCTCGAATTTTGATATGACAGGTGTATTTCCCGGGAATTTTACGAGGCCAATGAATTATTATGAAGCCCGGCAGCGAATTCCATGTTCATCCCGGATCCCATTTACCGGGCTCTAAAAGGACCGTCCAAGTCGGAGCTGTTATGGCATTCCAAGGGACGAGTCCTTTACAGTACAATTAATAATGAGTCGACTATAGAGAACTGATGGTTACTAAAAACCATTAACCACACCTCTTCAGTATCCAAGAGAGGGAAGGCATAACATATAAAAAAACCCACAACCAACACAAAGGAGGGGACAAATGATCGAAGAATAACACAAAAAAGAGGAAAAATATGGAAAACTTTGGACCACCAACAATGGTGGTCATTGATCCCTTACTAACATGTTGTGTTTATAATTCTTCCGATAAGTACTTAGGTAAATTATTTTCATAGATCATAGTTCTAGCCATTTTTGTAAAAATATATTTTCTTCTCTCTACAACTCCATTTTGATATGGAGTTCTAGGAGAAAAAAACTTACGAATAATTCCATGTTTTTCACAAAAGATTTCAAATGACTCATTTTCGAATTCTCATCCATGATCACTTTTGAATTTTAAAATCTTCGATTCTTTTTCAGTTTGTACTTTTATGCAAAAGATGTTGAACACATCATATGACTCATCTTTAGTTTTGAGGAATATTTCCTAAATCCATCTATTATAATCATCAACTATGACTAATCCAAATTTATTCCCATTGATTGATGCAGTACCAACTGGACCAAATAAATCAAAGTGAAGTAGTTCTAGGGTTCTGGAGGTAGAGATGGTGTTCTTTGATTTGAAAGAAGTTTTATTAATCTTCCCTACTTGGCATGCACCAAAAAGAGTATCTAAGTGATAATTAAGTTCTGGAAATCCTTTAACAAGTTTTAACTTGCTAAGTTTATAGATTAATCTCTAGTTAGCATGACCTAACCTTCTGTGTGGCGTACCTCGAAAAATATGATCCTTCGCGATGGGACACAGAAAAAATTATTCGAACAGAGTCGCCACCGAACTTTATTCATTCAAATGAATTAATAGGAAAATATCGAGAAAACCTTTAAATATAAGAACATGTTCATCGCAACCAAATTCTAGGTTCGTTAGTCGATTATTCAAATGGAAGGTATTAGCACCCCTCACGTCCGTTGTACTCAACGTGAACCTCTTAGTCCAATTTGTGA